GAAAGCGTTTATGGGTGCGGATCAAAGACGCGAGGCTTTAAAAGATGCCAATATTATAATTGTATCGGCAGGGGTTCCTAGAAAACCCGGCATGACCAGAGACGATCTGTTCAACGTTAATGCATACATTATTAAGGATTTGGCTGAAGCAGCGGCTGAAGTTGCTCCGAATGCTCTAATCGCTATTATAACCAACCCTGTTAACTCAGTGATACCCGTTGCATGTGAGGTGATGAAAAAAGCCAACAAATTTGACCCAAGGCGTATTTTCGGAGTGACAACTTTGGATATTGTACGCACTAATACTTTCGTTGCTGAGGCGCTGAAGATAGATCCTAAGGAAGTTAATGTACCTGTTATCGGAGGTCATGCAGGAGACACCATAGTACCACTGTTTTCCAGGTCGAAACCGCATGTCTCCTTCAGCGATGAGCAAATTATAGCCATGACCAAACGAATTCAAAATGCTGGCACTGAAGTTGTCGAAGCCAAAGCTGGAGCGGGTTCAGCCACATTGTCCATGGCTTACTCAGCTGCAAGATTTGCGAATGCCCTAATGCGGGGTCTTAGGGGTGAACAAAATGTTATTGAGTGCGCCTATGTGGCCAGTGATTATGGGGGAGCCTCCTATTTTGCCACGCCTTTGTTGCTGGGGAAAGACGGCATTAAAGAAAACTTGGGAGTTGGGGAATTGAACGATTTCGAAAAAAAGTTAGTTGAAACTGCGATACCTATACTTATCGAAAATATAAAAACTGGAGTGGATTTTGTTAATCCCAAATAAGTTTAGTTGGACTTATACCTATTTAAAATAAATTTAAGTATCTTGTTCTTTTCTATGAAAACAGTTGTCATTTAAATAACAAAAAAATTAGGATGGCAACATCCTCGGTGGTGTAGTAGTTAGCACTGCGGACTACAAGCCGAGAGGTCGTGGGTTCGCCTATTCTCAAGTTCGTAGGAGTAGAAATTTGTAATATAAATGGGCGGAGTTCTCTCGAAAACATCTACAGCTGTATTCTTTAAACCAGCAAGTGAATATTTTCGTGCATTATCGGGCGAATCCACTTCTACTACTGATTTATATTAGAGAAAAAATTTGACATTTTGCGAATGTTAGTAAAATACCTAACCTAATTTATTTATGGTTTATTCTGTGGTATTAGAGTATTAGTGTTTATGCTTATGTTCTGTGTGTTTTTAAGTGATTTATTTCAATGGATCCGCATAGACTATCAGAGACTGCAAGATGCTGAAGAACAAGCAGATGAACCCAACCGAGTTGTTTTAAACCGGGAAAATCCGTTTCTGTTATCAGAAATAAAATTTATGAGATATTTTAGAGCTAATAATCTTTGCTTGCTCCACCAGGGACACTATTTAATGTTATAGCAAGTTCCTGCCATAATTCCTGTGCCTCTTTTTTTGTCAATTCTGCAAAATTGCCACTTAAAAGTTGAGGATAGCTTTTTAAGAAGTCTAATAAAATTTCTTTTTGTCTTGAAGTAACGGACACTTTTCGTTCCATTTTGACTAGTAATAATTAAAACACAAAAACTTGAATTTGCAACAAAAAACTATTTACATCTAGGTTATTAATCACATTTCAAATGTGACATTAGTGAACTTAAGTTACGCGGGAAATTTAAATTACTTTCATTTGATTGGGCAAATACAGTATATAAATATGGCAACATGCTTCTCACGGTAATCCGTCGGGAATACGACTTTGGCATACCGAGAGAAAATTTCGGGGATGTGAATGTTCGTTCTATTACAGGGAGAGCTCTCCGGCGGATATTTTCTCTCGCAGTCAAGAATAGGGGTATAGCTGTTTAATTGCGTGTGTCAGTGTGTACTCCGGTAATTGGGCCTGGTGCCTGTTGGAAGCACATTAAAATAATACAATAATACAATAATATTATCTTTGGCCTTAACCATCAAAACTGTCATTCACTACCTCCTAAGAGATTACCAGCCGGGGTAAAAATTCGTATCCACCAAACTCAGGTAATACTTTGCAGTCGCGGGATACTTATGAGAACTGAAAGATGATAAAAATAACTCATCTAAATTACAAATTCCTATTTTTATTTCACCATTTACCATTTCTGTAATAAAACTAATGACACCAAAGTGACAATGTCATAATCTGTTATCATGCCAAAATGTTCAGTCATTCTGTCATAACCATAAAAAAAACATGAAAATATTCTCCCAAGTAATAAAACCCTTCATCCATTTATGCAACAGATTTTCCTCATGTAAAGGAGGGGAAGAGGGTTTTAAAGTGGCTATTGCTGGAGCGTCTGGAGGTATAGGACAACCTCTCTCTATGCTAATGAAAATGAACCCTTTTGTGAAAGAGTTGTCGTTGTTTGACCTCCAACATACACCAGGTGTAGCAGCCGACCTGTCCCACATAGAAACACTATGCAAAGTGGGTCCGGATCAAATATACAAAGCTTTAAAAGATGCCAATGTTATAATTGTACCAGCAGGGGTTCCCAGAAAACCCGGCATGACCAGAGACGATCTATTCAACGTTAATGCAAACATTGTCAAGGAGTTGGCTGAAGCTGCGGCTGAAGTTGCACCGAAAGCTTTAATCGCTATTATAACCAACCCTGTAAACTCAGTGGTACCCATTGTATGCGAGGTGATGAAGAAAGCCGACAAATTTGACCCAAAGCGTATTTTTGGAGTGACAACTTTGGATATTGTACGCTCTAATACTTTTGTTGCTGAGGCGCTGAAGATAAATCCTAAGGAAGTTAATGTACCTGTTATCGGAGGTCATGCAGGAAACACCATAATACCACTCCTTTCCAGGTCGACACCGCGTGTTTCCTTCAGCGATGAGCAAATTATAGCCATGACCAAACGAATTCAAAATGCTGGCACTGAAGTTGTCGAAGCTAAAGCTGGAGCGGGTTCAGCCACATTGTCCATGGCTTACGCAGCTGCAAGATTTGCGAACTCCCTGATGCGAGGTCTTAGGGGCGAACAAAATGTTATTGAGTGCTCCTATGTGGCCAGTGATTGTGGGGGAGCCTCCTATTTTGCCACGCCTTTAGTGCTGGGGAAAGATGGCGTTAAAGAGAACTTGGGACTTGGGGAATTGAACGATTTCGAAAAAAAGGAAGTTGAAGCTGCGATACCTGTACTTATCGAAAATATACAAGCTGGAGTGGATTTTGTTAATAATTTCAAATAAGTTAAGTTAAACTTGTTATACATAAAATAAATTAAAGTATCTTGTTTTTTTTCTATGCAAACAGTTGTCATTTAAATAACAAAAAACTCTGTACACCGGGAGTACGGGCATTAAACGTACACCAGGTGTAGAAAAATCCTTATTAAGAAAATTTTTATATTTGTTAATTGTCATAATTTTCGTAATTGTCAAATTGACCATTTCCACCTTAAATAATTTATTATTCATATTCATAATTTTTGTTCTTTACGAGGATTTTAGTAGTTGTACATTGGTATTAATTCATTTACGGTACAAATTAAGTCATCAGTATTTCAATTTTATGGTAAGTGCACTCAATGAGGCGGGGGAAGGTTGGAGCGGGGTCGGTTGGGTTGGGTTGGGTTGGGTTGGTGAGTTTGGGTTGGTTTGTGTTGGTAAATTTCACCATCAGCTAGTATGGAAACACGCATGCGCAAACCTGATGTACGAACAAAAAAATCATGATGGCAACGAAATTCCGAGGGCCTTAACCAAAGATAATACACCCCATAGATTGGAAACTCTTCCATCACTGCCCTCTAGAGCTACAATACCTGAACTATATCTATTTGTAAATTGCAGACATCTGTACAAACGCTATTTGCAAATGTCAATGTCAATCATAATTATTGATGTCGATAATGATTTTTGAATTATTAAATACATTTTTGCGCCTTAAGTGATAAAATGTGTTAATGGTTGTGAAATGTATTGTTGTTGGACGCGGAAATGTAACCAATTTGTAATTATTGACTATTCTGCCGTCCTAAGTCAAAAAGACATCTCGTTATTATTAAATTATTCTCTTATTCTCTTAGAAAAAAAGACGCATTTTAACTATACATACATTTTTAAGTACTATAGCTCCTAAAAATTTCTAATTAAATTGAACGTAGGTATCTTAGAGAAAAACAATAAAGCGCTATAATTTATAAAGTAAAAATGTGGAGTTGCATCTTTTTGGCTAAGCACGGCAGTATCGCTCTAGCGTAAAAATACTGTTTGTTAATTATGAATTATTTAGGATTGGTTGTTTAATGGTAATTTAGTCCAGGCGAAGCCCAAGCTACTTATGGTTGTTTCAAAACCAATAGTTGGAAAAATGGATTTTTCACGGTTGGTTAGAACATGCCAAAAGTTCACGCTCAAAAGCTTTATACAAACTCCTATATGTATAAGTAGCCTAGACTAAATTACCAAATTTTGCAATATTCTCTTATTATTTAAGAATTAAGATTAATATTTTTTAGATTTGCACTCCACAAACAAAAACATTCATGTATACCAATTATGTATTTAATATGTACATATAGATGTATGTATTTTATTTTATATTTTATTTTTAATACAATAAATAAATCTTATATTCATACTTGTTTTATTTAAAATACAGCAGTAAATAAAATATATAAAGGCACCCAGATGGCGTTAATTTACTTTAGCCTTTTGCCGCTAGCGCTAGTGTAGTTTCCAATCTATGGGGTGTATTATCTTTTTCCTTAAACATCAAAACTGTCATCCACGACCTAAGAGATTACCAGCCGGGGTGAAAATTTGTATTAACCAAACTCGGGATGGTTATAAGAACTGAAAATAACTCATGCCCATCTAAATTACAAATTATTATTTTTATTTCGCAAAGAACCATTTACCATTTTTAAGTCTATGATTTTTATAATGAAAGTGATGACACCAAAGTGACAATGTCATAATATGTTATCATCCCAAAATTTTCAGTAATTCTTTCATAAGCATAAAAACCATGAACATATTCTCCCAAGTAATAAAACCCTTCATCCATTCATGCAACAGATTTTTCTCATGTGAAGGAGGAGCAACAGGTTTTAAAGTGGCCATTGCTGGAGCGTCTGGAGGTATAGGACAACCTCTGTCTATGTTGATGAAAATAAACCCTTTTGTGAAAGAGTTGTCGTTGTTTGACCTCCTACATACACCAGGTGTAGCAGCCGACCTGTCCCACATAGAAACACCATGCAAAGTGAAAGCGTTTATGGGTTCGGATCAAAGATGCGAAGCTTTAAAGGATGCCAATGTTATAATTATACCAGCAGGGGTTCCGAGAAAACCCGGCATGACCAGAGATGATCTATTCAACGTTAATGCAACCATTATCAAGGAGTTGGCTGAAGCTGCGGCTGAAGTTGCACCGAAAGCTCTAATCGCTATTATAACCAATCCTCTTAACTCAGTGGTACCCATTGCATGTGAGGTGATGAAAAAAGCCAACAAATTTGACCCAAGGCGTATTTTCGGAGTGACAACTTTGGATATTGTACGAACTAATACTTTCGTTGCTGATGCTATGAAGATAAATCCTAAGGAAGTTAATGTACCTGTTATCGGAGGTCATGCAGGAAACACCATAATACCACTGTTTTCCAGGTCAAAACCGCATGTTTCCTTCAGCGATGAGCAAATTATAGCCATGACCAAACGAATACAAAATGCTGGCACTGAAGTTGTCCAAGCCAAAGCTGGAGCGGGTTCAGCCACATTGTCCATGGCTTACGCAGCTGCAAGATTTGCGAATGCCCTAATGCGCGGTCTAAGTGGTGAAGAAAATGTTATGGAGTGCTCCTATGTGGCCACTGATTGCGGGGAAGCCTCCTATTTTTCCACGCCTTTAGTGCTGGGGAAAGACGGCGTTAAGGAGAATTTTGGACATGGGGAATTGAACGATTTCGAAAAACAGGAAGTTGAAACTGCGATACCTGTACTCATCAAAAATATAAAAGCTGGAGTGGATTTTGTTAATAAGTCCAAATAAGTTAAGTTGAACTTGTAATATTTAAAATGAATTAAAGTACTTCGTTATTTCCTATAAAAACAGTTGTCATTTAAATAACAAAAATAACAGGATGGTAGTTAATGCCATGTGACAAACAGGCGATTAACACGTCCATTAACCAAGGCAAGGAGAGTTAATGCGGCCATCTAAAAATGTAAAAGAACACACGCAGAGTAAAAATATTTGGCGGTCTCATAAAGTAAATATTTTGATCGTTTTAAAGCCGCCAACGAAAATGTACACATAAATTTAAAAATTGTCCAATTTCGCAAACAAGCCTTATTTATGTGGCTGCCAAGAAATTCTCTGGGAACGGAATTAATTATAATTAAATTTTAATTGTACCAAATTTCTTCGTGTACGTAAATTTTTACAAATTTCCCCCTCTACATAACTTAATTTTAGCCAAAAGCGTAACCCGCAACTATTATTATATGAATAACATCTTAGCGTAATTAATTATAACAAAACTGTAGGAGTAGGAGCAAAGTCAATTTCTCAAAGCTATTGCTAAATGATTCGCCGCTTTAATTTAATTGTCTCTTGAAGTCGCTATTCAATAATTATCTCGCTTCTAAACTAAGCTATAAATTATAGCAACAATTATAAAATTACTACATTACAAAGCCTATTGTTCTAATTAGCTAAGTAAATACCCTTTGTTGAATTTAGGTTAAAGAGTATTTCCCATTCTATTAATAGACGACTATAGTTTTATTAAAAATGTATGAAAAATTATATGGTGAGAAAAATTAAATTGTAAATAAACGGAAAAAATCAATTTTTTATTTGAATGTAATACATCCATGGATTTTTAATATACAAGGTGTGTTCAGAAAATAAAGGGAATTGTTAAATTTCGCGGGTAAGGAGGGTCCGGTTTTCATAAAATTTTCTTTATTATGTTGGTATACATGACCCCGAAGTATGATAAAAACTTTAGCTGTTTTCATTGTTTACTTTGTCTGTGGCAGCCGCTAAGGTTAGACGTGTTTTATGAGCTCGGCGATTTTTCGTTCGTTAAAAGAAATGTATCAAAGAATTTGTATCCAATTTTGCTTAAAAATGAAATAAATTCTGTGAAATGTTAACAAAGGCCTATAGTGAGTCTGCTATAAGTAAAACAAGAGTTTACAAGTGGTATAAGAGTTTCCAAGATGGCCGTGAAGACGTTGAAGATGACGAACGCCCCGAACGCACAAGCACATTAACAACCGATAAAAACATGGAAAAAGTGGAAGAAATGGTTGTGAACCATCAGAGAAGTCGCTGATGATATTGGTATATTGATTGGCTCATCCCAAAAAAATTTTTCAAATGTTTTGGGTATGAAACGCGTGGCAGCAAAATTTGTTCCAAAACTGTTAAATTTTGAACAAAATTTTTGGCCAAAAACAATACTGTAATGATGCCCCAGCCTCCATATTCGCCAGACATGCCTCTGTCTGACTTTTTCCTATTCCCAAAAATAAAGAGAACCTTAAGGGCCGTCGTTTTGCACGCATAGATGACATTAAAAGCGCATCGCTGAAAGAACTAAAGGCTATCCCAAAGATCGAGTTTTAGAAGTGTTTCGAGTATTGGAAGAAGAGCTTGCACATGTGCATAATATCCAATGGGGATAGTCCCCATGAAGGCGACAACATTAATGTAGACGAATAAATAAATATTTGTTTCAAAAAACGAAAATTCCCGATATTTTCTGAACACACCTCGTTCATCCATGGATTTTTTAATATAATATATGCATACCTACCATATGTCCGCTTATTACGAACCCGGTATAGCGAACTTTCGGTTAGAACGAATCAACTCGAATAGTATCTATGAACCAAAGTCCTATATACAGTCATTTAACTTGAAACTTTGAAATATCTCAATTAGTATGCATTTTACAAAAAAAATGTTTAAAATAAAAATTAAATGATTCGAGGGGGGAAATCAATCAGTACTAAAATTGGTCCCCATACTCTCCTCCTTATAGAGGGAACAGGGGGTAACTTTAAAATTTCCAATGGAACACTCTATTATTTATTGCAATAATATTATTATGTTAGTTTGTAAATTTGTTTATAGAAACCATGGCAACGCTGTATAAAAAATTATTCCCATTTAGTATCACCATCCACTTAAGAAACACCCTGTATAGCACAATACTCGAAACTTTTTCGGTACTTAATAAATATCGACTGAAAGTTCTTTCAAACTTGAAAATGGAAATAAATTGGCAAACATCGACTTCCTGGGAATATTCGGTATAAATGCCATTTTAAAAATTGTCATCATTTATAAAACACACAATGCTTATTGGGCCCGCCGTTCCTTTTGGAGTATTTCCCGTAAAGTTTCTTGAACGGCCAAATAACGGATACAAATAGAAAGTCATCGAAAGTTTTTAACAAGATGGGCACGGAATTTTTCGAAATAATAACGTTTCGGGCCCTCGAGAGACTACAGACGATTTATTTAAGTTTTAAAATCAATCTTGTTTGAATTTCTTATAAGGGGAGGCCAAAGATCACAGAATGCAGCGTTTACTAACCTGGAGTCATTAGTTAACTAAAAAGATGTCCTCTAAATATTTTTACAAACATTAAATATAGAGTGACCCAACGAAAAGTTTTATTCTAATTCAAATAAAAAAGTACAGACTTTTGGAATAGTATATTCTGTAACAAGTTTGGAATACAGCATATTCCGCTCGAGTGAAGAGTTTGTCACACGAGCCGAAGGCTAGTTTGACGGTTTCGCGAGAACGGAATATGCAATTCCAAACGTGTTTCAGACTATACTACGTTTCCAAAAAATACCATAGAAAAATAATTTAATTGGAAGAAAGTGAGGTTGGATTGGTCTAAAATTTGTTAGATATTAAAAACAGAGATGTCGCCACGAGTGTTTATTCTGTCATCAGATGATAGAATATTTCATTCTGTAACACTTTACGGAATATATGTCATTCCATAGATAAAAAGTCAAATCTGGAGATTTTCCAGGAATCACTTGGTCCATGAATAAACTTTGCTACCAACTTCAAAACAAATTCTCTATTCACATGCCTATCCAGATTGTGTTCATTGAATAAATCTGCTGCACTCTTGGGTACATAGTAAAACATATTTTAGTGTTCTCCCAGGTGAAATTTGTAGAGTGAAAAAGTCACACTATTTTTAATCCTAAAATATATTTTTTCGTTTTCATTTAAGACAATAAATAAGACTATAGTCTATAGGCTGTAGCCAAGCTCTGGAAGTGCACATTAGTGTAAATATGCAATCAGGGGGTGTTCAGTTGAAAAAAATTCAAACTTGTTTCGTTTATTGTTCTCAGAATTAGTGTTGGAAAAATGCACCAAGCTGTTTAGTTGTGGTTTATAATTATTAACTAAGTAAGTAAATAATGTCAAAAAATTGCATTTTGTTTTGGTTCCTAAGGTCGCGTTTTGTTTATTGTACAGACCAATTTTAAGTATAGTTTTTACAATAGCTCAGTATAAGTATATAATAAGTAAATCGTGTTTTCTTTAATTTTTAGATGTTTTTCCTGGGAGAAAAACATCTCCATGATGTCCAAGTTTAATAACAATTTCAAAAATTTGGCCAAAACCTTAGCAGTGAATTGCAAAGAGGACCTTCAAAGTTTTATTTTGAGATTATCACTGCAAAAATTTGGTATATAATTATATAGAAGAATTTTCCGATTCGATAGAAATTTTAGTCACATGTGAAATGCAAAATGGGTAAGAATTGGTTACCTGTATAAAACTACAAGATTTTAAGCTTGCTTTACAAAGACAATTTAAACCAATCTAACAGTGTCAATTGGTACTTTGTGCTAAAATATTATTTGGTGTTTTGAACGTATTTATATTTTAAGTAAATGCCTAAGATTAGTTTTATATTTTGTAGCGTAAAGCTTACAATGGATTGTATTTACGTATTTATATAAAGTAGGTAATTGCCAAATATTGTAGTTTAATTTTTTGTAACGGACAATGGACTGTATTTTTATATAAATATAAATTTTATTTGCTTTATATAAACATAATTTAAACACCCCAACAGCGCTACCCAAAAGAAATTCAAATAATTAAAAATAAATGAATATATAAAAAATTAATAAGAGCAGAATCATTGAAAACTTCCATTATATATATTTTTTCAAGCGTACAATAATTTTTATATTATAACACTTTAAAGTCTAAATAAAAAGACTTGAATATTAATACTAGTTCAAAAGTCAAATTATTATTATTAAACTTCCTACCGAAATAAAGCTAAAATGCCATCATCAGTTGAACCTAAAGGAAATGTAGAAAATTGATGATTTTATTTTTTATTGGGTCGCGAACTTCTAATATTTTTGAATTGTGGGTCGCCAGCCAAAAAGGTTAAGAACCGCTGCACGAGATATATTAAATTTCCAGCACTATTAGGAATAGCATTCACACTAAAAGTAAAATAAATTCAAATAAATTAGTGTCAAAGTGAAGACTTTTAGAGAGCTGCCGAACACGGTTAGTGTACTAATTTTCAATCAAATAGTGTATGAAGTCGCACGAACTTTGTTAAATGTGTTACACTACAAGAGTACAACCTGTAGAGTTAAAACAACACTAAAATTCACAATAAATTTAAGGTGAAAATTTGAACTCTAATAAAGTGGACCTACACAAGCTATAACTAGTGTTCTTTAGTGAAGCCTAGTGTGAAGCTTTTTTTACTGTGTATGCATTTTAAAATCCGCAATAACTCCAAATTACCTCAGTATTATCGGTTTTTATTCTCCAATGTACTTTTTATGATGGACCTTCATGGTCATTTTTCCCAAAACATTCATAAGCTACCATCGTAAATATCAATTAGCAGTTTGCCATACCCAATACATTTATATTATTGGCTCGTATGGAATATAAATGCGGGCGGTAAATGTATTACAAGTAAAATATCGTGGGACGTGCTATGCGACACGAAACAGCTTTTACAGCAGCAAGCAAGAATAGACCGTGTATCTCGG